CTTCTGTCTGATAAAGCCCTATTTTTCAAAGCTTTGATCATACCGCAGTAGCTAGAAAACTCATTGATTTTTTATTTGGAAATGTGAAATAGCCAGGAAGCTCTCTTGATCTGAATGTTGCTAAGAACATTGGGGTTATCCTGAAAGACCGAGTTGAGGCTCATGTGCATTGAGGGCAAGCAGCACGGATTCTTTCGGGAAGCCTTGCAAAGCGACATCACCAGAGTGTTGAAGGACGTGGAAGATGACACGGAACTCCATAAGCGCTTCTTTTCATCTTAACCCGCTTGTATTAAAGCTCTCGGAGACACAGCCAGGGAGCACGCAAATTATGAGAAGTATATGTTTAGATTCGAAAATGAATGTTCTTTCTCATGATATATGAGTTTTTTTTCCCTAGCTCTTATTGTTTAGGCTGTGGTTTAGGCTATCTATGTGCAACACCCGGTGTGTATTTGCGACCCGACAAGAATATAAAGTCACTCCACAACTGGAATTTCACTCGCAACTTTAATTGGTTTCCCCTCATCATGCTGTTAAATCGCGTTGAAAAATCCGCCACCCTCCGCTTTATCGATACCATTAATAACCTTAAATGCCTGTATGAGGCCCCCTCGTTAATACCATTTGAGGAGTGGGTTTCTCCCAGCGGAGGTTAATGTCAGCCCGTAAATATTCGGACTTTCTCCTCAAAGGGTTAACTTTCGTGTGTGACGTGTGCTCCGGAATGCGCAGTGGCAAAGCGAGAGAAGGCTGGGTGGGGGAGAGGGGGGGGGCGGGGGTAGCTCCTCCAACTCTAAATACATCCACTCACTTCCGTCGAGGAAATGTTAGAGAAATCACCCCTCCATTTCCCTTAGGCACCCCATTGGCTAAGGCCCGAATGCACAAGTCTCATTTAGTTAACGGTCCTTTAAGGAGAAAACAGACCGTTTGTTAAAAGCCTCTTTATCTTGGAATGCGTAAACCTCCTTTAACCTTCCGCTAGCTAACGGTCCTTTAACCCTCATCCGGGCAAGCTTTTTTACAACCTATTCCGGGCAAGGTGAGTCTGTCAGACTCATGTAAATAAAATTTCCAGCTAAGAAACAACTGGTTCCTACTGTTTTCCAGCTCTTTGCCAGCTGGAAATGGTCCGAATTTACAGCTTTGGTCCAGCTGGAATATTCCAGCTGGGATTTTAAACTGGGAAGGGGGGGGGGGGCCTCTTTGGAGTGAGATCACAACGTGAGCTTCCTTCTCAGACTCTCGGACTCAGAATTACTGGGTTGAGATGGCATGCCTCTCTCGTGGAATGCATCCGGGAATCCGGGAAATAACTCGGTGTGTTGGCAATGAATCTCCATTTCGTTAAGGAATGAGGAAACGTTTCGTTCGGGTAACTGTGAGATGTCTCGCGGGACATCTCTTCGCGTGATACTGAGCATTCGACTCGAGTGCAACACGATTTCCATGTCTTCGTAATATCGGAATCGAGTCTGTATCGATTGCATTGGAGCATCTGCATCTGCATCGGCTACTTATCGACACGAAGTGAATAATGTCGACGTGCCCGGTCCTCGACGCATTAGAGATCGTTCGGTATCGGAAGAAAATATGCCGTAAAAATGCTGGACGAGGATCCGTCTCACGGACGGCAAAACGGGTTCTAAAAGAAAAAAAAAGAGGAAGAAAAGCAACGGGAACACAGTTCAAAGCCTTATTGAAGAAACGAGAAGGGAAAGATTGAAGATTCCCCCTCACGGACAGCGCGTCGTCTCCGGGAAAGCGAATCGCACGGTTCCTACCATGGGGAACTGAAGCCAAGGAGAATTCCGGCGAGACGGTGCTCGAGGCTCAAACGCATTCGCCGATATGACAAAAACGCATTCGGAGCTGTCGCTTCCGTCGACCGCGGCGACAGCGAACTGGATCATTCCGTCAATCGCTTCTATCTTCTCCCCAGCTTGATGCCGGGAGGAGGGGGGGGGAAGGGGAGGCTCCTTTAGTTCAGTGATTCCTCCACCGGGGGAGCAAGAGTGATCGTGCACGGGAGAAACCCCGAATCCAATTGTTGGGCTGGGTCCCGAAATTCATTCCATTTTTCATTAGCTTTTCTCATTTTCAGGTATGATGTTCCATACCTGATTTCATGTTCTTCATTATTTACTTTTTAAACTCAGTTTTCCCTATTTCATGAAATTTAGTTTCTTTTTATTAGGAACGCAGTTACCGTTTTATCATGGTCACAAACTGAAGCGAACAAAATGATGTACGCTACCTACAACAAAATGCATGTCGGCCCAACCGCATTCGAAAATAATACAATCCAGACTTCTACTTGGGCATAGTCATATAGGTCTCTATAAGCGTAGCGCGGATGGAAAAAGTGGAGGGCTGGGGGGGATGGCATGTGCCCTTTTGGCCCTCCCCCTCCCGACTCTACGCCACTGAGTCTCTGAGGCAGGGCCGGATTAAGAAGTTGCGAGGCCCGGGGCAAGTGAATTCCTGGGGCACCCCCCCCCCCCCCCCGCTACTATATGCAAATACGATACTTTTTTTGGACTTAACGTTTTAAATTTCCTTCGGGGGCCCCCTGGAAGAGTGGGGCCCGGGGCAACCGCCCCCTTTGCCCCCCCGTTAATCCGGCCCTGAGCTGAAGTGGTAAAACGTGCGTCTTGGTGGTAAAGCGAAGTGAGGACGTTTTCATTTTCCCAAGTTATTACTTGCTTCCCGACGGAAAACAAAACCTAGAGAACTAGCTCAGGTATGGATCAGTCATACGGTCAGTCACTGAGCACCATGACACTGAGGTTACCTCCCTTCGCTATTTCGTAGTCATTCAACTTTTCAGCAAGCAAAAGCCGTCATGTCGATGACTTGCATAATCAGGGGAGGGGATGGGAGGAAAGTAAAGCCTGCGGGATGCGAGATGCGGCATTCCTCGGGATCGCTTCATAAACTTGATACTGCCATGAGAAGCGTCTTTCTCGTTTTGTTCAACTATTGATCCGTCAAATGCAAGTGCTGGAAGGTAACTTTTTGACGGTGACTGGCACCCCGACCCAGACTCCATGCTGCACGTGAGCAATGAGTCAAATTCTCATGTTTCAACAGCAACTGCGGACAGACGAAATGAAAAGAGAATAGAAAAAGGGACAAACCAGCCACAATATCTGCCATTTTTCCATTGGTCACTTTTGAAATGGCAGGTAAAATTCAGGGTTGGTATCTTGTTTGCACTCAGACATACATCTTCAAGTTCGATCATCTCACTTGAACCCTTCTTAATAAGATTCATTCCGCAGGCCAATCAGGTCAGTCGCGACTCTCTCTTTGCGCTGGCTTCATCTAGTTTTGCTTCATCTAGTTTATAAGATTATGAGTTCCAGGAAGCTTTTCCAAGAACAGAGTCCTTGGAGAACCGGAAACGTTTCAGAAACTGATAACCACTGTAGTAGAGGAAGAGATCTGTTCGTCGATTGAGGTTGTAATGCAAGATAATTGTATGCCGCCTCCTACTCCATTTAAAGAAACGTAGATTGTGCAGAGACAGCATGGTTTCTAGACTGCAAATGAACGATGATCCACGGAAGAAACGCCAGTAAAGTAAAGTAGGTCCTAGACCTCCTTTTTCTTTTTGCCAGTTAGAGAACTGTTTAACTGTCTGTTAAAGTTAGAGGAGGCTTGCGCATTCGAAGATAAAGGAGCTTTAAGTTAGAGGTAGGTTGTGCATTCGAAAAAGGGCTCTTTAGCTTAAACCTCGTTTAAGTTAACGGACGTTTTTGTTAAAGAGAGGTTACGCATTCCCAAAAGAGCTCTTTAGCTTAAAAGCCCCTTTATCTCTCCTAAATGAGACATGTGCATTCGGGCCTAATTCTTTGGCTTCGCTACTGGGATGTGGGGGGCCGATGAGTTTCTTCTTTGAGATCTTTACGTTTATGTATATTACTTGAATTCGAAAAATGCAGAGATTTATCATGTCTGACAAGTCCTCTCTTTACGTATTAACTGCTTTTAATTTATTCGGCCATTAGCAACTGCAGTGGGAGCGAGTGGGAGACTTGTCAGCATGCTTTGCCTTTCATGGCGCCGTCCTAATTCCAGAATCCCGCAGCCGGCGGAGACCCACCACGTGCGGGTATCCTGGTCTCTGTTTACTGTCACCTTTCCACCAACTCTTTCTTGATTATTTGGTTTTTCTTCCAACGATAGGGTTGGTTATGAAATGTATGTTTGTTGTATAAGGTGGTAGGGCACCTGAGAGGCTCCGTTGGTAAGTCTAGGCCTGCTGCCATTATAGTACGATTTAGTCACGCTAGGAACCTAAGTAAATGGAAAGGATATGTTAATGAACCCCTCCAAATTTACTACCTTATCATGATCCTTGTGCAGTAGGAAAATCATGCATTCTCCTTAATTGTTTAGGAGGCAGATTCAAAGGATAAGTGTTTTCACTCGTGCTCACGAAACTTTGTGCAATAATGGAAAGGATTTTGTTAGGTACGCGGTAACTTTGGTGGGCATCTACATATGACGTATTTTTTGAATGACCGTGTTCTTTTCTCTGATCAGACTTGTCACAAGGCCTTACTTAGTGCTTAGTTATCTTTATGGGAAAAAACATATTTTGCAGTTTTCCTTCTCTCCCTCTGTCTTCTTACCCTCCTGTGTCAACCTCCTCTCAGGCAAACATTTTCATATTGCTGCATTTCTGTATCTCATTAATCTAAGGATCCTTGTATATATCTGAAGAAATGCTTGGAATCCTTTTTCTTTTATTTCCATTTTTTTTATTATTGAACCAACATGGGTATGGGTACTGAATTGAATAATTTCTAGCTTTTTTTAAAATGTAATTTGATTGTATTCACCCAGCTGGCTCAGCATGTGATTGGTTACCTTAAGTACTAGTTGCATATGTTGAATTATAAGCAGAATGTGTCCATTATGGGCCTCACTGTAAAATGTCAAAACTCTCCTCATGTTCCTGAGACTATTTTGTTAACCTGACCAATTTCCCTTACAGATGGAGCAAAACAATATGAAAATGCTGGGAAGTGCAAGCTCATCATTGGTAGACTATGATGACAGTGAAGAGGAGGATAATCCCAGTGAAACCATTGTGGAGGAGTTTGCTGGAGCCAATGGTCTGGAAAGCAAACAAGAACTCACCAGATCAGCTGATGCCTGTGAATGTCCTATGCTCCAAAATGTTAAGGATGAAGGAAAATTAGAGTTCCCTGCTAATCCAGAGCCAGCTGTGCACTGTGATGCTGGAAAAAGTGAAACAAGTTGTGATGGGATTGAAGTAAGGACTGAAGGACTAGAAAATGCACTGCCAGGAGAAGAATGTATCGATGAAGGTGGTGACAGGCCCAGCTTCTATATACACCGAGGGCATCAGTCACAGGACTCCAGTTCTGAAGATTCTGATGAAGAACCAAAATCCCCAATTCCTTTGTCTTCATCCTCTATTGATTCTTCAGATTCTGATGATACAGAGAAGTATGCTATTTTATTCTATGGAATGTAGTTGGCAGCCTCAAAATAAAGCTCTCTTGCTTGATGTGACTGAATCATACTTTTATAATGCATTACGATTTTTGCAGGAGCAAGCAGATAAAGCAGCCTAAGGAGAGCACAACTGGGAAGAACCGGAAGAAGAAGTGCCACACGAAGGGAGAACTTGAATTGGAGGATTTGCCTCCCATTGAAGAGCTTCATATAACTGTCCCAATTGATCACTGCCAGATCATTGGTCATGTCTCCTCCATTGTGAATCCTCTTGGTGAGGAATTTTTTTCATAATGGTTCATAATGGTATTGCTTGAGCATGTAAGATTCTTACATTGCATCTCAAGAAGACCGGGAGTAGAGGCCTGCTTGACAATGTCAGCCTAAGCATGAGGATGTAAGAAATTACACCATTTCTTACATCCTCATACCTCATCCTACCAGAACTTATGAGCCTCTTGTAATGGTAGGCAATCAGAACCATATGTTTTCTTCATGATATAGGCCTTAATTAAGTCCAAAAGAATCTCACTCTTTTCAGAATCAGACTTGCAGAATTTGACTGTGTCAAGTTTAACTTTAAGTGTATCTAAATTGATTTATAAGTGCTTGATTTTGACAAAGGAATCATGCCTTTCAGTTGTGGTGGAGGCAATCCCTGGCACTCCTGCTTTGGATCTAGAGTCAGTTCTCTTTCTTCAAGATGGAAAGCCTCTTGGAGTAGTCTTTGATGTTTTTGGCCAGGTGACAAAACCTTACTACTCCATACGTTTCAACAACATGGAAGAAATTACGTTGAGGGGAATCCATGAAGGGCAAGATGTCTACTGTGCTCCTTCCACACCCTATGCCATATTTGTCTTCTTGGAGCAGCTTCGCAGGTAATGATAAATTATTGATCTGATTCACCTCTAAAATGCTAACAAAATACCCATGGAATTGAGGAACTTAACAACCTAGAAGTACCCACTGATGAGAGTGTATGGCTGTCTATAGTACTTGCTAGAATATGAAAGTTGTGAGAATATATTGATGCTTAGGAGGTTTTGATTGTTGCTTTCAACAGGTATTACTGTACCAATTCGCTTACCTGTTCTTGTGTTACCTGTGATATGTGTGATTGTAATGGGGTTCTTTCGTAGCTGGCATAAATGTCTTATTCTAAGAAAATAACAGCTTTGTCCTCCATGACTGGCTTTTGGGTAACTTCTTGTTAACATAAATGCTACTTGCTTTGCTTTATTCCTTGGTCAAAAAGTCTAACTTTGCTGTTTTTTTGTTTCTGCAGGATCAAGGGCAGTGATGCATCATGGGAGGATAACAATGAGCCTCCTTCATCTGAAGAAGAGTTTTCCGATGATGAGTCGGAGTTCTCATCAAGAAGAGTGAGTTCTCCCCCATTTGACCTTCTTCTCTTCTGATTAAACTTAATAAATCCATGCAGTCATATCAGATTCAGAGCCACTGATTACTCTGATGATTTGGAAAGTCTTTCATTCACATGCAGAAGAAATATTCAGTGCAATTATTTGATGAGGTACTTTCATGGCATGTCCTTCATAGAAAAATTGCAAATCCAATTGACACGGGGAAGTGAGGAGGTGCAGCACACCCTGAAGGTTGACTGTGGAAGACATGCATTTCAGGAAAATTGAACATATGTATACATATGCAAATCTTTGTTTTTCTTGGCAAGCCCACATATAGCAGACTTCATCTCACATATTGATTGCCCTAGTGAGGTGCTCTTCATGTGACATGAAGGTGGCCTATCTTGCCTCAAATTGTCACTTTGCTTATTCCATTGGCTTATTGTTGATTTACTAGGGATGATTGATTGATGCAATGAGTTTGAATTGCTTAACCCACAGGAGAAGTCTCGCACAGGTCAGAAAGAGATTAATGGGACATCCTCAACAGAGCAAGGAGGCAGACGCTTTCTGAGATGCAGGGGCCGTGGAAGGGGAAGGGGTAGGAGAGGCAAGAAACCCTTTCCAGGTCATAACATTCCAACCCATCCCCTCCCTGGGGTGGTGAATCCTTTCATTTGTCCTCACCCCCAACAAGCACCATCCTTGGTGGGTCCACCACGTTGGTGCAGGGCTCCTCCTCACCAAGCTATGTCTCAAAGGAATGTCATTCATCCCCATTCCCAAGAACTGCCACCCCCTATGGGCCGACCCCAGTGGTGCAGGGCTCCTCTTTACCCTCACCAAACAAGACCTAGGCCAAGTGCTCAGAGATTCCCTGGAGCCCCCTTTCCTCCACCCTTCCCACCACCATGGATCCAGCATACAATGCCACCTCCACCAGTGATTGAAAGTCATTCTAACTGGCAGCCAAATTACAATTTATTCATGCCACCACCACCACCACCTCCACATCAGTGAATTATTTGAGGATCTCAACAGATGATAACTAGTGATATCATGCTTTCTCTTTCATTTTGGTGTGCTGAAAGAAAGTGGAATAAAAATGCAAATATTTTTGAAGCTGATAAGGAATTGTACCGTGTTGACATGTTATGGATAATTTTATACTATGAACATCCATGAATGTGCATTGTTATGAATTCAGGCTTTTAACATGTTAACTACCAGGCAATACCCTCTGTGATGTTCCCTACTATCGAAAAGGAGTTATTCCCCTCATTATCAAAGAGAATGATCTGTGTAGGTGTTGCAGATTGCAACACTTGTAAATCTGAAAGAACATCGTGTCACATATGCCTGACGTAGTGGGATGTTTGTTTAGCATTGAATAGGTTTTTTTTGTTCAAGTTGGTTGAAAGTCTCAATTAAGTTTTGTAACTAGGCCCCTGTGATCCAGCACACCTTATGTTGACATATGTATTATGATTACATGGACCATGTAAGTGCAAAATAATATTGCATGTTACCTCATTGAGCTTAAGAGTCATCCATTGAAATAATTTAGAAATCTCTAATTTGATGCAAAGGAAGATTGTAATTTGTGATTTTCATAAATGTGCATCTGTGTTACACCAACTAAATCTGGAAAAGTTCAATGTATTTGCTAAATTTGATTAATCTGGTTTATTCTTGAAACCATATCAGGCTAGGGTAGTATGCTATAAAAGAGGGTAGTTGATTGAAAGCATGGAGACAGGGTCCAATGTAGTAGATTTGAGGCTTATTAAGTTTAGTGCGGGGGATTCCCTCTTTCAATGAAAACGGGAAAAATATTTATTAAATGACAAAAATCTTCAAAAAATTAATATTTCTTAAAATTTGAAACTCAATGAATATTAAAAGAATTTTGGAACAAAAATTGTATTTTGATCTGCCTCCAAGTCTAACAAGCGTCTTTCAACTAAGCCTTCCATTTGGGTTTTTCTCAGCAAATGTAAGAAAAAGCAAGGGGAAACCTCATTTACCTGAATTGAATTGGTCCCCCTGACAGTTGTTATGGCATGCAATGTTCCAAGTTTTTTTTACAGCCAAACATTGCAGAAATTTTATGAAAATTTTCAGCAAACCTGAGAGATGTGTAAATCCGTGGGGATCCAGTGGAAAATTGCGCCATACATAGGACCAGGGGTTTCAAGAGGTTACAATGGCTTCCTTATGACTCAAGAAAAGACTTAGAGGGATACAATTATCCATAACTGCTGTAGACCAGTAGTGCACAGCCTTTTCCCCCTAGAGGGCCAAATTGAAACTTCAGCTCATATCCGAGGGCCTGCGGTCCTCGAATATGAGCCGAAATAGGCCGCATATATAAGGGTAGCCCAAATGAAAGTGGGACTGCTGTCGGTTTGACAAATTGTTTAATGGTATCGGTGTGGTAGGTTTACAGGATAAAGAGTGATACATAAGGAACATAATGGCTATACATAGTTGCCTTGAAGGTTGATACAGGCGTCCCAGCGGTCCACAAGATGATGAATACCCTNTCGACGCCGATGGCCCGTTGCTATTGGATTGGCTGGAGACAGGCACTACAGTTAATGCAACAAGATACTGCGCCACCTTACACAAACTGAAAACAGCAATCAAGAATCGTCGATGTGGCATGTTGTCAAAAGGGGTTATTCTGTTGCACGACAATGCCCGCCCTCATGTGGCTACTGCGTGCAAAGATTTGTTGTAGCGATTTCGATGGGAAGTCCTCGAACATCCCCCGTATAGCCCTGACCTCTCACCTTGCGACTACCATGTCTTTGGTCCACTCAAGAAAGCTCTTAAAGGACGGCATTTCGCAGACAATAATGAGGTCCGGGTCGCCGTTGAAGAATGGTTCCACAGCCAATCCCGGAGGTTCTTCACCCAGGGTATTCATCATCTCGTGGACCGCTGGGACGCCTGTATCAACCTTCAAGGCAACTATGTATAGCCATTATGTTCCTTATGTATCACTCTTTATCCTGTAAACCTACCACACCGATACCATTAAACCATTTGTCAAACCGACAGCAGTCCCACTTTCATTTGGGCTACCCTTACAAATATGGATCTTTTGAGACCGGGGGCATCCAAGGGGCCGCAAAGTAGGTCGCCGTGGGTTGTGCATGTCGTAGATTCTGTTCACACCATACATGAGACATAGTCACTATCCAAATGATGAATGGAGTGAACTCATTATTCATCCCAAGAGAATAGGCCAGTTCCGAACGTGTGACGTAAGACTTGGACGCTTCGATACGGCCAGTGAGAGGTTAAAAAGAAAAAGGAAATTTCCCTCAGGGCATGGACAACCCGTGACCTGGGTGCAAAGGTAATCCATACCAGGTGCTTCATTTCATTTCGATTGATGTGACCGCGCCCTGACCAACCTAAGATCTTTCGAACTTTTGAGTTTTATTTATTTTAAATAAAGCTTCGTATATAAGTCCAGTAATGGTTTTCGGTACTATTAGTTTCGGAAAATTACATCGGGAAACTGAGAATTTGTCCCCTCTCCTCGCCCCATCAGAATGCGTTGAGTATTAGCCTCCGTAATCATGCCGAATCCGCATGTCTAGATTAGGCTGTTTTGATTTTACAGTGTTCACTTAACCACACGAAGCGGCGTCCTAGTTGCGAGATGTCTCTGTGCAGTGTCGCGTTGAATTCTTTTCGACCTTCCTTTTCGGCTGCTGGCTTTCACCTCGTCGCGATGCTAAGGAGCTCCCAGCTAACGCCCCCCCCCCCCCCCCCCCCCCCCCCCCCCCCCTCCCGCCCCCCCCCCTCCCCCCCCCCCCCCCCCCCCCCCCCCCCCCCCTCCCCCCTCTGTAGTTTGGCGTCTGGGCCCCACTGGCCATGGGTCCCGGTGCAGTCGCACTGCCTGCACGTTCGGTAGCAACGCCACTGCGTCAAGAAATATTCAATCCAGAATATATATGAAGCTTGTGTGAAACGAATCGCTCTCCTGTCGTCATTTTCTTCAGATATTTATGGCATTGAGAGAAAACCTGGACAAGTTTTCTGAATATGTAACACATGCTTCGACAGAAAAATTACTTTGACGTAAGAGGGCCAAAACTGAGTGCGTATCACGCTGGAGAAATGATCCTCCGAGTTCACTTAGGATTTGAGAAAATGCTCATCTGAGTAAATCTGCCAAGACTTCCACCACCTAACTGTAGTGATAGGTGGTTGAAGTCTTCCATTTTGTGACCCAAGCCAATGCTAGTACACGCTCGCATTCAGTGTTATCTGAACTTAAGGCCCTCTTCAACTCTCTGCTGCCTTTTTTTCTTCTTTTCCCTTTGCCGCTGAAGCATGGCTGTAGTTATGCACCATTTTGCGAGGGTAATATCGAGAGCTCGAAGAATTTAATAGAAAAATTAATGCATTTCCACAAGTTGTGGGAGCCTATCGAAATAAGACTCCTGAAGGGTGGAACGGTCATTGAGACATCGAGTCTGTACTGGGCCTCATATCTTCCTTACTTGACACATTCACTGCCAGTGGGAATGCCAGTGCCGTTGCCTAACGTCGTCGTGAATACGTCGTATGACGTATTCACGGCACTCGGCAACGAATGTTTTAATGATAAACGAGTAGTGCAAGGTCCTGCAAGAATAGCATTCGCGGAATAGCTAAATATGGAGGGAATAAAATAAATAAGTGAGGAGGATCCGAAGGCATCTTTTCAGGGGGCAAAAATGTCCCGAATATTGTGATGGCCATGGTTCACTTGTGAGAAGGCACGAGACACACCTCCTCATCTCAGGAGCAGGGGTACCTGAAGTCGCCGCACCACCGGAACATGCAACAATAAGACATGGTTGCCGGGTTAGTCGTGTATTCAATATGTCAGAAGAGAATCTTCTCATGCTAGGAGTTCCAGAGCCACGACAGAGAATACCTTAATGTGGTATGCCAGGGTAGACAGCAATACGTTGCTGTGTCTTCACGCAGGTGGATTGTGTGAGTTGGTTGTGTGTGTGTGTGTGTGTGTGTGTGTGTTTTTTTTTTTTAGCTGGTAAGTGAGAATGAACCGTAGCCCTCCCCGCAAGTTAGGGGCACCAATGTCGGTTGGTGTGACCACAGGGAGGTCCGAATCCGGGGTGCGAGGATAATCAGAAGTTTGCGATGTTTGGAGAGGATCGTAAGAGAGACCTCTGTAATCGGCAGAAGCGTTCCTGTCTATCTGTTAACGAACTGACTCCAGGAAGGTTGACTCCTTTGAATTACTCAGGACTCCGGATTGATATAAAAGGTGCGTAGTTTAACACTGCGCACAATTGATTATGCAATAACACAACAAGGATAAGTGAATGGGGTTGGTAATAATGAACAGCCTCACGCTGATGGGGGACCTTAGGGTCGTCCTCATCCTTGTAGTCGTCCGGTGGGTCCTCAATAGCACGCACGGTTCGGTCCGGCTATAGCGTGCTGGCTCGGACGCGACTCCAAGGGCACCGACCGTCCGTCCACTTACGATGTTTCTCGGCGACTCTCTGAACGAGGGCGTACGAAGGGAAAGTGGGCTGTAGGTTCTTACGTGAGCGTAGGAGGGAGAAGGTTCTTCCCTTCGTAATTGTTACGTCATCCCTTGCGGGGCTCGCGGAGGACTCCACATTCCTCACGCGCAAATTCCGCGGTGCCCTTGTGCATCGCGGTCACCAATCCTCGGCGAGCCGTGCGTGATTCTTGTTGTGATAGCTGTCCAGGAATCCATGCGCCGCCATGAGAAAAACCCATGCACTCTATAAGGTACAAAAATGGGTTAGGAAACATCCGAGTTACTTGACATAATCCTGTTTCATAATCTTGACATAATAATGCAATGACACATTTTTGAATAATGGATTAAACAAAAATGCTTCCACACCTCAAAAGTAAAAGTATAATACAAGAAACACTCGTTGTAGCGAAATACGAGATTATTGACACACACACTAGATTGACGTTAATGAGGGAAGTGAAGAGAAATGCAAATCGGCAACGTCTCACCAAACCTGTCTGTCCTCAGGGTGGTTATGAGCCACCCCATAGATTGTGTGGACACATGTATGGCCAGGTCAACCCTTCGGGGCGAGGTACGGTCTCTAATTCCCAGGGTGAGTTGATGCCGACACTACATCACGTTCCACTTCCAATGTTCGTCGCTTCTAGTTGCTCCTCTTCGTCTTGGCTGTCTCAGCCATCCGACGAGTGGACCAGGGGTTCTCAGACGTCAAGTGTAGGTGACACTTGTCAGAACCCTGAGTTATCCAGTTATCTTGTCTCATATTAACAGCCCATAAGACTGGAGAGAGCAACAACCGGCACAAATAGATATATGATGGGAATAGTTCGAGGTGAACAGGAGTGAATACTGACTTGAAACAGAAATATCAATGCCAGAAGACCACAAACGCATCAATATCAATATCCTTGCCAACATGTAACATGTTCATCATGAAGTTCGCCGCAACTCAAAAGGAATCCATATTGCGTGAGATCTTTTAAGTTTATCTCTTGGAAAAAATGAAAAAATTCTTCCTTCTGTGCATGTGGAAACCTAGTTCTCAGGCTTGAAATCTGATGGAGACATGCCTATCCGTACGAGTTCTAGGGCAACACTGAAACTAAAAGATCCGTCCTTTCCGGTTATGGTTTCCTGCAGTGGTGGCTGGTTGTCACCTATGTCACTCCCTGACAGGCTTAACGCTAGGCCCAATATTGGAAAATAGAACCCCATCTTCCATATTCTAGCATCTGTTGGTGAGTTCCACTTCTCCTTGTATTGGATTTTTCGCAGATGTGAAGTTGTGAGCCTCCTTAGACTTGGACTGTGAACAGGCCTAGGCCGCGTCTGATGCGAGGGTGCGAGTTAGATGTCTAAATTGGTATGTCAAAAGCCCTGGATCTCCTAAGCACTAAGAACATGGACTTCGTAATCAGTAGAGTAGACCTTACTGGGCATTGTTTACACGCCTACCTAACTTTGCATCGGCTATTATATGCGAAAGTGCTAAGGATCCGTAAACGCTTCACCCCGGGTCTATGATGGTGCGGTCTCATAAACTCCGAGAGATTTCAAATATGATTACAAGTCGGAGTTGGAATATCAAACCCGAATGTGTTCATTTTGTTGAGGTCAGTCTTCGTACTTTAAATTACGTTTTGTGTAACTTGGGTGCACACCTGTGCATTACTATGCACACTGAACCTTGCCTAGGCGTTGTGATGCATACACCTCCATGTCTATGCCAGCATGTATATCAAATGCCGCTATGCATTTCACACTGCATTGTTCCTGATATGCAAAAGTAAGAAAGGTGATTTTGGCATTTTAATTTTGACAACATAAGGGTTTCAAAGAGTATGTCTTGTTCCTTGATACCTCACCCATCCTTAACAACATACACTATAGTCCCTGCTTATTACAGCATCATCATCTCCAGTGGAGCCTTGCTTCCTTGTATATCTTTGGATGCATAGTCAATGCTGCAATTTTGCTCAGAGAAACTAAGTGAAGTTCATTCTATAATGGGTCGAGTTTTTATTCAGGATAATGACTTACCCTGCCTGTTGGGCCAACCTGGATCTGGTTTTGGCCAGCTCATAGCTGGTGCAGTCTCCCAAGAATAACAAGTAGCCTATGCAGAACTATATTTCTGTTCCATTGTCTAGTCTATTGTTTAACCTGTTGAGGGCGACGTGTCTCATATGAGGCTCGAACATAGTCTTGCATGCGGGGACTACGTGCCTCATAAGAGGTTTTCGCACTTTCTGCATTGCAGAATTGTTCGCATGCGGAGGGCGCCAATGCCTTTTATATGTATATTCATTAATATTGCTCATACATCAAATTTGCTTCTTTTTTTTTTTAACACTCCCTGGGGTACTGCAATGGCCAAAAAACTTAGTCCTCAACAGGTTAAAGTGGCTGTGCACATGGCTTTTTAACATGCAGTTGAAGAACAGCCTGGAATTCACATTTGTGTGTTCTTAAGTCACTTGACAGCACTGTTTGGAATATTTTGGGAATAGCTGTTCACCAGGTGATCTTGCACTATGCAGGGAGTGACAGGCTTCCTTTATTTTGTGAGGTCACTCTCAGCATCAGCCTTTGCACAAGGGTCAATGGCTGTTTGTGATGTGGGTGATGTACAGTTTAAGCATCTCAATACTGCAAGGAGGTTCCTTATCATGTTACTTAGGAAGAACCCCATGTCTGAATTTGAACTGTGTTTGGAACATTTATGGAACATATATAGAATATATCAAGCTGAAAATTTGGAGTTATGATTAAACTATTGGAAAGTATTGCTACATTCTAGCATGAATCATGGGTGGGTATACCTATGGGTATTTTGTGGCTTGCTGGCATTAATTCACAATTCCTAGACCTTATTATTATTTCAGCTTCAGCTTGGAACTCATTGCATCTCATTCCACTTAAAAGTCAATTTGCTAAACTTTTGAACAAAAGAATGCAGTGTGCCAAAAGGCCAGTATAGTCTTAATTTATTTGCCAAATATTCTTTTGCCTAACTTTGATGATATGAAATAAGAAAGCTGAACATGTCCTTGGGCATTTTTTTTGTAGATCATAGTGACAGCCAGTGCTGAAGATGCCTGGTCGAGTCCCTGTCGTTAATAGCAAGGCGTACGTCACTCCTCGACGTCCATATGAGAAGCCTCGCTTGGACCAGGAGTTGAAGCTCATTGGAGAGTTTGGTCTGAGGAACAAAAGGGAAGTATGGAGAGTGAAGTACACTCTGGCCAAGATCCGAAAGGCTGCTCGAGAGCTCCTCACTCTGGAGGAGAAGCATCCTCGACGTCTTTTTGAAGGTAACTGCTGCCCTACTTTATGGAGGACTTTCAATGTATTAGGGCTAAGATGGATGAATCCTTTCCCCATCTATTCTGTAGTAAGGGGCATGGGTGGGGTATTGCAACTCACCTTTATTTTTTTACATCTGTTACACAGTGTCCAAAAACTCTGGAGGTTGTGTCCAGCTTTATGGTTTATACTCTGTTTCCCAGATTGCTTAATCTCTCACAAAAACTTTGGACTCTACATAGAAAAAAACGAGCTGATCTGTCATTTTTTCATAGGATGGCTGCCCTTTAAGGTGGTAATCAGCAAAAAAAGGGTCAAATTATGAGAAGCCTATTTTTGGTATTATTAGTTACAGCCTACCATGGGCTTGCATTACATGAACATCCTTTCGCACTTATAAGGATTCATTTCCTTTGTATCTAGACTTGTCAAATCAGATTGATTGTCAGTTGCAGTTAAATACGAACTGGGGTGATTTCTGATTTAAATATATACGATTTTTGGCAAAATTATGTATAAGTCACATATGACACAAATTGCTAATGTTGAGATATTGATGGGAATTGTGGGAAATGCCATATATCAATGTCAGCTGCTCAGATTTGTATTTGTGGTTTATCTCATTAGCCACCATGCTCATTATATATTTTCTGTCAGCCTTCATTGGGTTTTGAAGTTGGAGCAATAACAGCTATGCAGGTGCATTCATGATCTCTTGCCATTTTTATGCCAATATTGAAAAAGGGGTTTCTTTATGCAGGTAATGCTCTGCTTCGCCGTCTGGTGCGCATCGGAGTGCTGGATGAGAGTCGGATGAAGTTGGATTATGTTTTGGGCCTAAAGATTGAAGACTTTTTGGAACGACGTCTTCAGACCCAGGTTTTCAAGCTTGGTCTGGCCAAATCCATCCATCATGCTAGGGTTCTCATCCGGCAAAGACATATTAGGTCAGTTTTCTTTAGGCTTTTATAAATTCATATGTCATCTGTGATCTTTAAAGCAGTTTCAATGCTGTTGCCTGAACATTGACTTTATGTCAAAAGTAGATGTAGTGCCTTTTTTTATAACTTCATTCCAACACCAAATTTGATTGTGATAGAATGTGAGGTGCCGATTTTGGAAAGAAAATGGAGGCATAACAAATTTTTCATTGGGCTTTGCTGAGGAATGATCAAGGATTAGAATTTTTTGTGAATTATGTTCTTGTTGATCCAGAAAAGTTCTGAAAAGAATTAAGTGACAAGTCTGCCAAACTGGAAGGAACTTATATTTTCAACGTATTGATAGATTGACCTGGAAAGTTCCTGGACAAATGTTGCTACTTCTTTAACTTTAAAGCTGAGCAGTGCTGCAATTTCTATATGATATGCATTTGGATAATGCCTTTAGTGGATATTAGTGGAATCTCAAAGACCAATCTGGCCATGTCAGCGAGTTTTATGGGGAGGAACATGTATTTCCCACATAAAAAAATGGTTCATTCCAGCTATCTTCCCTTGAGACTGCCTATTCAACCCCCTATCTTGCTGAACAAGATATCCTGCTGACTGGCATCTGAGTGACTCAGCTGTAAAGGTAAAGCCCATAAAGTAACACCAGTTTTTTATCAACTGCAGGTTGCCCACTGTAGTTCTGCAGGCTTTCTACTTGCTCTTATTTGTGAAAAACAATGGCCTGTGTGATTTATTTTTTTTTATTGCCATGTGTAGTGTGAAAGTTGAAAGTGACATTTTTTCTACCAAAAATTTATAAGATTTTGCTGATGAGATTTTTCATTTTGTAACTAATGTTGATCACTATATTCCAGAGTGAGGAAGCAAGTAGTGAATGTTCCATCATTCATGGTGCGGCTGGACTCCCAGAAGCACATTGACTTCTCTCTCAAGTCTCCATTTGGTGGGGGACGACCTGGCAGGGTCAAGAGGAAGAACATGCGCAAAGCCCAGGGTGGCGGTGGTGCAGAGGAGGAAGAAGAAGACTAACTTCCTCTCTTAAGACCTGTTTTTGCATTATAACCACAAATAAAACACCCAGTTGGAAGATGCATTATCAGAAGGGTTAATGAATTATTGCTCCACCTATTGGAACTATTTGTAATGTTTTAAAAGTGCAAGGTTTTGTGCTTCAGAATCTTTCTGAAATGCACATTTTCAAATATTAATGTTGAATTCTACTGCCTATTTGATTCCTAAGAATTCAGTGCTTTAGGAATGGATTCATTTTTACTCAACCTAATGCATATTACTAAGGGATGCAAAACCTTAATGTTGAATATGCCAATGAAGCATGCTAGGAATCAGTCAAGCTCCCCTTCCTCATTTTCATTCATTGAGCAATTTGAACACATTGTAGTGATGTATCAGGTCCTCTTCATCTATTATAGGAAGATAGTATCCTCATTCAGTTTGCAAATGAATCGTGTCAGCCTCGGTTTCCAAAATGATCATGATGGAATGGTTCCCTGCATCAATTATCAACCATTGAGATTAGCAGATAGCATGTGATTGAATTTGCTGCTTATGAAGACTGGATGTGAGTTCAGGAGATGAATTCACATTGGGGCATGGGAACCCTGTTCAGTTCACACCTGCAAAACTTTTGAGCAAAAGTTGACTTTCCACCTTTCAAAGATACTTTGTATGTCTCTTCTGGTTATTCAGTTTCCTGGTATTGGGATGCAATGCTATTCAAAATTGGGCTTGCATGATTCATACTACCCATGCCACTGGAGTATATGGTATTTAGTGCACAGGACTTAAGTAATTATTTACCCTGTTGGCATAGCTAAATAGGTTTCCTAGATAGATAGGCTTCTTGGTGGTTTTATGGTATGTAAATGGGGCACATTCATCTTTCCCAGAACCTTACAGGATTGGGATAATTGCAAGTGTTTATTCTGCAATTTGGTTTAGCTTTGTTGTGATCTCAACCAATTAATTAAGGTGTAATTCCACTTACTTGCTTGTATTTTTCACATTTCTTTTACTTGCTCATATTGTTCTGCCTTGTTGCATGATTTCAAAATTTTATTTAGGTAAGTGTGAATGAACTCTCTCTCATCTTTTATATCCACATCATGATGGAGGAAGGTTCCAGAGAATTAAAGTTTCAAGGTTAGCAGAATTCAGAATTTATTCTGTTGCATGCCTGCACTAGATTGCATTTATTATGGTGTTTGCTTTTCTGATCTCTTCCCAACCCAGATTTCAATAAAGGTGGAGATGTTGTCTTGGATACAGGAGAGCTGGAGGGTCATGATGATTCAGAAGAGGGAAAAGTGAGTTTTCCTAGCATATGGAGACTTCTGTTATTGATACTTTGATACTTATAAGACCACTTGAGCTATGTTGTGCGTGTGTGTGCGTGCGTGCATGCAAAATAAATAGTTTGGGTTCTCATGACTCATGTTTTTCATTTAAAGGACACAATCTCTGGGAGCCAATTTTCACTTAAAATATCTGCTTTAGTTTACATACCAAAGTATATCTCCAGAATGTAATAAATAGAAAAAGTTTCTTGTGGCTTATGTTACACAAAGTTTGGAACAGCCAAGGCGTACTGTTTCTGAGAGGCTGCAGTACAGTAATATCAAATATTGCATTGCCCATGTGATTGGCATCAAGTATAGGACTTCACATTTTGACAGTTTTGCCCTCGTGTTCACAAAATGACGCATATGTTCATTATGGGAAATCGAGTGAAATTTTCAGATATATGTGTATTAGAAACCCAAAATGATCAATTGCCTCCTAAATATATTTTTCATTTTTTTGCAATGTGCAAAAAAGATAAGCAAGTGAATTATTGAATGGTGAATCCTGTTCCACCTTGTGCCATTTGAATACATTTAGAAGAGTTTGCATCTGTTTACCTGTTCACTGACTTGTGATTTTCTACATTTGTGCCATTTTTTCAAGTTTGAGGTAATGCTGCTTGTTCTTAGGCATTGTATACTATATATGTTGGAGGTCTTTGAGTAAATTGGAAACCCTGTATGTTTCATGGAATTAAAAATTAAGAATATTTATTACTGCTTTCTCTGAAGTCTAAGCATGGCATAAAGGCTTCTGAGAAGAAATGAAATTGGTGAGTGAATAGTGCAACCCTGATGAAGCAGTTCCACTCTGCCTGATACTTTACTTATTGGATTTTAATGCACAGCCTCACTTCTAGCCTGGTAAGGATCTTTGTAAGCAAGGAAATGTGTGAGTATTTTGCAAAAATATGTCTTCTAGGTATAAATCTGTGAATTCCATACACCAATCATAAATGCAGCACTTAAGAACAATATTTAGAGCAATAACATGCAGTAGCAAAAAATTTGAAGATGCTATTGGACAAAGCAATTGTGAACAGGTGAAAGGCCTGGAGAACTATTCTGACACACTCCTCCAGGTTTTTTTTTTTCTTTGCAATTTAACCCTACCTTGAATGAATGAGCATATTGCATCTATCATGCAGGCTTGAATCATTACTAATATAATGCCAGTGTCACAATTTTCCATTACAACTTTGCCTGAATGATGATTAGTGCTCATAATAATGTGGAAGAATCATGGAGACATGGGTAGACCTTGTTTGCTTTCCAGCAGGTGAAGAAGGTCAAGATGAATGTCGTGAGGTCCCATTGGAAGCTGCGGCCCATCATTGGACCAGAATATCATGCACCTATGACTTTAAGGAAGATGTATGCTTATGAAATAAAGGATAGGAAGGATGTGTCATCTGTACTTCAAGCCTTCAATAAACATTTTCCTTTTGGAGAATGGAAGCATTTGAAGCGTGTTAAGTCAACAGACCTGGGAGCAATGATATTGTGGACTGATGCTTGTGATTCATCCCCCAGTTTATCTCCACCGAATGATGTTTCATTCAAATTAGGTGCCTTGAAGACAGTTAATGTGCCACAGAGTGCACCTCTTACAAGGGAACAATTCAGGGAGGCTTGCAAACATTGGCCAGTTCACTTTCATGAGGATAAACACATTTCCATGCTGCTCAATGGGAAGTTCTTCACCATTCAAGACTTGACAAAAATGGAATTGTTCATGCAGAAAGCCTTAGACTGTGCAAATGAGAATTCTTCATCCTGTGGGACAGTGATTGTAGATCCCAAGCAGGATATTGTGGTGGGCCGTGGGACCGATCAGAGGAGGGAAAACCCTCGTCTACACTCAGTCATGGTTGCCATTGAGGAGGTGGCAGAGCATATCAGTGCCACTGATGACAGTGGTTACATTTGCACTGGTTTTGATGTTTACTGCACCAGAGAACCTTGCATGATGTGTGCCATGGCACTAATCCACTCCCGTGTTCGGCGGGTATTCTATGGTGCTCCAGCCTCTAATGGAGCTCTTGGGTCACAGTGTTGTCTGCACCTCTGCAAACATCTCAATCATTCCTATCATGTTTTTGCTGGTGTCCTTGAGGAAGAATGTCTATTTTTGAATCAAAGTGACTTGCCTTGATTCTTTTATATATTGCTTTTATTTGTCTAAATTGCTCATCAGGAATGATCTCATCACTGAAGTGAGTGTCATATTTAGATCCTGAGGCAATAAAGGAAATGCTTATTGAAATCCCACTGGTTCTGGTATTTGTTTTGTGGTTTATTGTCATTTCTTTAATACGAGTCGGGAACCTTTTTGGCCATGTGAGCCATATTAATATCAAGCTAAGTGCTTGTGAGCCGACGGTTTTCAAAATGACAAATTTTCCTGAATTTGGTAACAGACATGTGCATTCTTTGATACAGAAGAAAAATGAGGAACGACCATGGTTTTTAGCCATGACTCATGAGCTAAACGTTTGGCCTGTGAGCCAAATTTGGCTCATGAGCCATTAGTTCCCAACCCCTACTTTAATATTTCCTCAATTCTTTTCTTGATGTACTAGTACTGCCCTTGTAATGCTTGGCTGAACATCAGCTTAACTTGAAAATATTTATATTTTTCATGTTGGAATTTAATATGGATCCATGGTACTTATAGGATGCATCCATTGCAGACAAATGGCCATGATTTTGCATTTTGTGCTTGTGAGATTCAAGTTATGTCTCAGATGTGGTTCAGATAATGTTAGCGTCACAGCTTACAGCTCCTCTATAATGGATATATTTCTGAAGTTAGGAGAAGCTGATTGCATCTATGGTAGATATATATTTGGCAAGATGTAATAAATCTCTTTGACTCTTACTTGCAGTTGCTTCCTGGTGAAGAGGAAGATGGGAGGAGGGAGAAAACACGAGGAGGACCGTGGACATGGGAATATTACCAACAGTTTTTTGATGTTGACACGGAACAGGTGAAGCAGAGGACACTCTGGGCCATGATCCCTAGACCCAGTGTCTCTTACCTGGAACACTACATCCGTCCCAATCCTGATCTTTATGGTATTATGGGTCCCTTTTCTCCTGTAGGGAATGATTGATAAATCTCTAGTCTGTGAAAGACTTTAAGAAACAAAAAGCAAATTGATTCTACACATGGTAGTCCAAAAAATTATATTCTTAAATATCCAAGTCTTACCCTCCCATTCTTGTACATATCCCAAAGGAATAAGGCATGCAAATTTTCAACTCAATCGGTTGATATTTAGAGGTAGCTCAACGAACTTCAAGTTTCAGGACGATTGCCCTCGTAGGAGACCTACTGTCTATAATGTCAGCAATGATAAATAATGTATCATAGATTTTTTGGCTCATGCAAGAATGTTTCATGCAATTTTTTTATTGTTCCCCTCATACTGTTGCAAAATGAGTGAAAAGAAGAGGTAAGGTTCCAAAGACCTGAATTAATTCTGTTATGTGGCTCCTTGGACAGTCATTAAGAGAGGTTTCTGAAGATATATCATTGTCAAAGTTAAAAACACAAGCTATTTTCTACTACCTCAAACAATCAAATAGGAATCAAATGATAAATTCATGAAAGCACAACAGAAACTGCTTGAGAAGCTTTAAAGTTTTGGGAAAGTGCAAGAATAACAAAACTAGTAAGAACAAAATGTCATAAAATTAAAATAAAGAAAACAATATGCCATTAATTTACATGAAAGCTAGGTTTTTGTGTTTAGATTCTGCATTAGCCCAATTAACAATCTCAACATGCTTGAGATATACAAATCAGAGAACAAAAAGGTTGCAAAGGTTGCCATATGTGCCATGAAGCATCATGGTATCTGAGTGGACCCTAAGTAGCATTGTGCTTATTCTCAAAGGAAGTGAACCATACTGAGAAAATTATATACTATAAAATATTTGGAAGGCATTTCCTTCTCCTTTCCATATATCAATCAAATATTTTGAAAGACAAGAAAGAAGAAAAAACAAGTAGCTTGAAATGGACAGTTGTTCATGATCCAAAAAACATAAAATGAGAGCTTTCATCTCCCCACTAAATGTTCTTATTCCCTGCACTTGGTACTGATCAGTAGTTTTTACTTGAACCTCCTTCAACATGAATTGACATTAAACAGTACACGAGTGCTATTAGAAACATAAAGAGTTTGATGGGTTGTCAATGATTATGCAGAATGGACAATGAAGTTGATCCTTGTCTGTAACCAAATCATCACCAAATATGACAAACAGAAGCAATACATTCTCTAAGTTTGTTTAGCAGTGTTGAAAAGATTTCAAAACAAGCAAAAAGTCAACACGGGATCAGAAGCATGGAGAAACTAGGCAACAATAACAGTTCACACCTGTGAACCCCCCCCCCAATGAGGAGCAATTCACAAAACGTGAGAGAAATCTAGTTGCCATACCATGCCGCCAGTGCTATAATGTGAAAACTAAATGTCCTTTGAGCAACCTTTAAATATGCTCTGATTGAGCTGATTTTTTTGCACAGGAATTTCTATTAGGAAGTGTACAAAGATGAGGGGTTAAGACTATAAAAAATTTGAAGTTGAAAAAAAAATGCTTTTTTGGACCACCCTAATGGATATTGGTGATCTGTTGATGTACACTGCATGCCATTCTTGTAATAAAGTATAGCAAGAGGAATGTTTCATCAACCCAGTTTGAAAGTGAAGAAGAAAGTGTTCTAATTTTTCATGGTTTCAAAGCGTTCCTGCTCCTCTGTACTTGTCCAGCAATTTCTGTCTGAGAAACACAATACATGTCCAACTATTTCTGAATTTCTTCTCTGCTTCTCTCTTTCATTTTGTGAATGAGCTAAATTGATCTATGCATGTATGTATTAAGGTGTCGAAACTTCAATGTGGAGAAAACAAGTACTTTCTTTGCATTTATTCAGAAACAATCAGTGAGGTTCATTGCTGAATTTAGGCGTGTTTATTATTAACCTAGTGACATCCATATAAACTAATGCTGGTCATGGTCAGAGTCCACTGGGCTACTGTGTCTTCAAAAGGAAAAGTTATGAGATGAGAGCTTTGCAAATTCTCCAGGGCCCTTTTGGATTGGTGTGACTCTGGTATTCAGCATTGCTGTGATGGGGAACCTCTCCAACTACCTAGCTACAGCTGCCACTGGCAATTACGTTTGGCGGTATGACTTCCACAAAGGTAAGCAAAAGTTTTCTGAAGTGTCTTGTAAAGCAGTCATCAAAGTTCTAGCCTCATCATTCTCTTTGATAATCCTGCTTTAATTAAAAATTTTAAATAATTATTTCCTCACTCACCTTTTTAATTTCTTGAAATATGCACGCTCAAGGAATCATTGGGGGATCATATTTCGCCTTTTGGTGATCATTGCTTGTGGATTCCACAGATTCTGGAGGATGGTGGTCCTGTGTAGTTTTTCATGAAGTGCTCTTCAACCTGCTTAACATCAAAGTATCTCAGATCTGTATGGTGGCCAATTTTCCAAAATTGTGTTGTTGCTTTGTTCCCTGGCAATTGATCTTCAGCTTCCAGAATGATGGTGTCTCATACCAATGTTTCTGCCCTCACCAGAACATACTAAGTCAGATAGTGCTGGAAATATGGCCACTGAACAGCTGTGAGTTACACCCTTTAGATGAGTAAATTTGCTGGGAAGCACTTCAGGAAATCACCTAGAAAAAGAGCAGCTTTCAAACAAAATGCCTAGGATCTAAGAGTGAATATTATCTAAGAGTGGGATGCTATCCCCCAGTGATTATTTAACTCTTTGCAATCCATTTCATTTGTAACGCTATGGAGATTGTTGGACCATGTCTAACTGTGGATCACAAAGGGTTAAAAGCTATTTACTATTGACAGTTACTTTTGATACCCATTTTGCTAAATTGTAAAAGTGACAAGGAACATTTCTTTTCTCTTACATTGCCAAAGGATTCCTCTTCATTTGAATTCATATTTCTCCTCTTGTGAATGAACTAGCAAGGAGCCATGCTTGGTCTTTTGTTTGTTGTCCACTCTGTAAGAGGAAGAAAATTATTGGGTTGGAAAGAAGGTCTTGCAACACTTTCTAAAACTATTTATAAAAATTTTCAAAGGAATGATGACCAGGGCTTTGCATTTGTACATGCTGGAATGTTCTCGAANTTCTCTGCCCAGGCAACACCCCATCAAGAACTGCAAAGCACTGACCATATATTGAATTACAAGGTGGTGAACTCAACTACATGGAATGAGCTGTGATCACATGCATGGAATTCCAAGCAATTCAAGGGAAGAAAATCCTATATTTTCTCAAGGTGACTAAGGGGACAATCAGGGGGCAATCAGCTTTTTAATTATTGGAATGTGAAAAAAAAAAGTTTTCGAAATAATGTTGGAGAACCCAATCTCAAAAAATTTAAAACCATCAATAAAATTTTGAAAAATTTGCCCAGATTGTTGCAAACCTTTATTTCCAACTCAATATGTGCATAAAAAGGCTCTATAGAGGAAAGGAAACCTGAGTTTAATCGACAGTTCAATCTTAATTTTCTACAGTTAGCACATAATGCATTTAATGTATACTTCCACCAAATATGGGCAAGAGTGCAAATCACAGAGATATGCATAAACAGTAATTCGAAGTGAATGTAGTTTTGTTTGCCAAAATTTTATTGATGGTTTTAAATTTTTTGAGATTGGGTTCTCCAACATTATTTCGAAAACTTTTTTTTTTCACATTCCAATAATTAAAAAGCTGATTGCCCCCTGATTGTCCCCTTAGTCACCTTGAGAAAATATAGGATTTTCTTCCCTTGAATTGCTTGGAATTCCATGCATGTGATCACAGCTCATTCCATGTAGTTGAGTTCACCACCTTGTAATTCAATATATGGTCAGTGCTTTGCAGTTCTTGATGGGGTGTTGCCTGGGCAGAGAATTGAGAATGGATGGATGCATTCCACCTGCTTCTTTTAAAATGCTAATTTTTATAAATTGTCTACTGCTATTATTATTATTGTCACATGAGCATGATTGTTTTTCAGTTAGTTATGCTGCAACTGCTGTGCTAACATACATCTGGCTCCTGCCAATTGGCCTGTATGCATTTCTGCGATACCGAATGAGGGAGGGGTATCAGTTGACATTCCTGGAGATCATCAGTGTGTATGGCTACTCTCTTGCCATCTACATCCCGATCTCTGTAAGTGAACTCCAGCTGCTAATAACTTATCTTTTTCTTGAAGAATTAGGCCAAATTAGTGATATCTGCAGATGATTGATGGCAGAATAAATTGAAGAGCTTATTACAATGGCAAGCCTTCAGACATTGCTGCATAGATGACTGATATTCCTTTTTGAGGGCCATATTCACTTGAGTGTTTGAAGCCAGTACTTTTGAGTGTTCATAAATCTGACAAAAGATTTATCAGAAACATTGTTAATTTGAAGCTGCAGCCTATATACAATGTAGAATGGTGGCTTTTTGACTGGTATGTGATGCTATGTAACATATATTTTGCCTGACCTGCACTTTCTTATTTTCCCATGAGATACTGCTGTCACTGAATATGGCACAAATGCTGCAGTAGATAAAAGTACCATTTTGTGAGAGTTAATTTCTTGACAGTAATGGTGACAAGTGGTCTTGGCTCATTTCATTCTGTTCAAGCTTTACTCCCCAGAAATTTTTGTCTAATTACCATATTACATAGTGCTACCCATTCATCCACTATGACACATTCCTGCTTCAGTTGTAAGCAAAAAGTTGCTAGGATTATAATTTTCTTTTACCCTGGGAAAGAGTTGACTGATCCATATACCTACAAGAGATAACATTGAAAATGTAGAAGCTCTTATCAAACATGTTAGTCAACATTTCATTAAATTTTCTGGTTAATCAGTTAAGAAAATAAGAAAGAAATCAGTTAAGAAAATAAATTTTAACCAAATTTTGAGTGGCCCACTATTTTTTGGCCAACCTTGTAGGTTTGGCCTCAGAGAGATTTTAAAAAGTTCAAAAGAAAAGGCCATGGCTGTCAGCATATTAAAAGACCCAGGTGAATGTAAACAATAGATTTGAATAGATATGGCAACATTCACTACTCTGACATGTATCATTCCATTCATGCTGATCCAGGACACTGCCATGAGGCAGTCCATGCCTGTAGAGGAACATGCCTTCATGTGTAGTGCATATATTGAATATTTGCATGTTACAGACAGCATGCCAAGATGGCCTACCTTCCAAAGCAGGAGTAGTTTATTGTCACAATTAGGCAAAGAGCATGGTCAATTTAGAAGTAATTATTATTGACTAATTCCAGCACCCCACTTAACTTAGACAATTTTTTTTATTGAAAATGTTTTTGTCAAGGAGTTGTTATCCCACTGTGTTTGATTAGTATAAAACAGCCTTAGGCTTTGTATGTTTTCAATAGATTATACAAATAGATTATACAATAGCCTAGAGTACCTAGAAGTGGAACGCAAAGGTGATGTAAACATGGATCTGTTGATGCTAATTGCATTCTATCTCTTGTATGTTGGTGGGGATTAGATCCTCTGGATGATCCAGGTGAATTGGCTGCAGTGGTTGCTGGTGATCTTGGGATCAGTAATGTCTGGCCTTGTTCTGGTTTCCTCCCTTTGGCCAGCTGTCAAGGATGACCCCAAACGACAGGTCGCCATTGGGGTCTTGTCCCTTGTCGTCCTCTTTCATTTTCTCCTGGCTGTTGGGTTCATGGTATGTCAGTAACCCTTCTCCAGTAGTTTGCAGGGGCATTATTGCTTAACACCATCTGTGTAATGCAAGAGTATTATGCAAATAAAATTTTTTAGTTATCTGGGAAGAGTTTCAGAATCAAATTTAGCACCAGGACTCTCATAGGAATGTGGATATCAATATCTTGCCTACAGAATTTGGGCTGAGTTGTATAATTGCAATGTTTATACAAAAATTACCATACTTATGCTCTCTCCCTGGGACTTTGGCTCGCATATGTTTGGCATCATTATTCCATATTGCTGCATTATTGTGGGGCTGTATGGTATTATTATCACCATGCTTGAATGGTTCCTGTAATTATGCTTAATAAGACAATTGATGACTGTATTTTAAATTTGAAAATGTTATTAGTTCATTCTTGATGTATGCATGCTTTTATGCTGGAAAAATAAGCATTTGTATTCCTGGTGGACCTGACAGTTTTTTCCCTTGCCTTTCAGATGTATTTTTTCCATGCCCCCAAGCGTATTGTGGAACATTAGCACCACATCAAGAACTTGTGGACAACATGAGGCAGCCCTAATCACAGGAATGGTGACGGTGCTGTGGCGTAAAATCGCAATCACAAAAGTGCATTATGTGTGCTTTGGGAGCCTTGGAGTTTTGTTCTGTCACCTCTTCGTCATGTGGGAATGGTGAAATCTCAGTGATATAAAGTGATTATATAATGAATAATTATTATATGAACAAGGACCACAGTTTTATCTGGCAAAATCCAAAGCTTTCTTTTCATGCTGTAATCAAAGCACTGTCCTGACAGAATATGCACCATTATCACGATCGCGTTCTATCGGAAAATAAAAGAATACCCAAAACTTGACATTTTCAGTACCGATACTGGCGGGTCGGGTTCGATTCTATTCCCCTTTCTACCCACCACAACTCGCCTTCATCATTGAATTTCTGGCTTACACGCCCTTTTCCTACTTGGAAGATCAGTAGGGGGCTGTCATGAAATTCATTCATGAATTCGGTTGCTTGCGTGTAATCCAGGGCGAAGCCTCCTTCTACCCTGCTGTGAAACTCGAATTTCCCTCACTCTGAACTGAAAGTGCGCTGTGATTGACGGGAAAAAACTGAAATTTCTTGCCCCTCCTCTTCCTTTACAAAATGCGTTTTAGCATCGTTTGAATGGAACTCGGCATGTGTCAACTCGTGTTAATAGCAGATCAGCATGCTTCCATTGACGGGTGTCAATGAAGGCGTCAACATGGTGGCTATTTTGACGCTGGTTAACTCAGCTCTCATTTTACCAGCGGCTGGTTCTGCCAGTAACCATTGCTTCAATTCAATAAAGATTGATTCCCGTCCTTCCTCTGATATTGTTTTTAATTGAATATAAGCTTAGGATACGTTATCTTCAACGTTCGGTAAATGCTGAGACGGAAATGTGAACTGTGATCGGCTAGGACCTCATTTTGGATCCCGTTCGCTTCGAAAGCTCATTTGCTGACAAGATGACCTTGACTAGAGAAATCGAGTTCAGCCCGGGTAGGGGAACATTGTCTGAGAGGGAGAGAAAAAAAGGGGAGGGGAGGTGCAAATGGCCAGACGAGAAAAAGAGAAAGAATAGCCACAAATGTACCATGTGGAATGGGCGATGAGCTCTCAACAAAAAAAGAGATCAATATTCATAAAGGGGGAGGGAGAAGATGTAACCTGCCTTCCAGATATGAAAAGAAGAGCCATAATATGCAAAGTGAAGGGGAAGGAAAAGGGAAAAGGAAGAAAGACGAGGGACATTTTACTGCTGATGGCTTTTATCGGGAGGCCGGAAAACCCGCGGCTAACTGCCATCTGCTTCGTATTGATAAAAATTGAAAAATGACTATTTACTTTCCAGTGCCGTGCTTTTATAACACTCTCGTCTGAGAAATCCCTACTGGTTATATGCATGGGTGAATGGGAAAGCTCAGAGCTCGTAACTCCGGCTTTTTATCTCGGCACTGTATTAAAAACAATGGCCTTCCTTCCCATCTCCATTCCACACGCTTCCCTTAATGTATCTCTTCGCCTTTTTCCGCTCTTTCTGCTTCTTTTGCTCCCCTGCTTTTTTTTATTATCTCCGGATTCGTCCGTTTGATCTTTTTTCTCGGTCATTTGCGGCGTGCAATGACATATTCTCGCGAGCGAAGGGAGGAAAGTCATTCATCTCTCGATGGAGAA